CTTTTATTACTAATCATTGGAGAAGCCAGAAGTACTTTATGTAGGTCATCCCAAGCAAGACACAGTGAATGCTTTTTCCTCGCTACATCATCGTCTGCTTTGTTTATGCCATGCTAAAGGCAACGGTGAATTCAGACCCTTTGAAAGTGCTAAATGTTGCAATCCAGGTTGCCTACTGATGGAAACTGCGACAGTTACATAGGGGGAAATGAAACTGCTGCAGTTTATAACCAGATTAGAGTTTCATCCTGGGATGGTGTTAGTTTTCATCTCAGTGGCTAAACTGAGTTGATTTTTGGCTATGAATCGTAACTACACACACATGGGAGAAGGAAAGATGATCTGAAAGTTAAAAGTTTTAATATAAGCTGCCTAGTTCCTGTTGTGTTACTGTTCTATTGAGTGTGTGACTTAAGCCTAGTGTCATCTGACCTCACCTCAAACACCTGATGAGAGAGAGATGCCTACATTAGGGTTTTTATCCCCTTCCCCAAGATCTAAATAGCCTCTCAACACAAAACGTTATTTGTTGATGGGGTTTTTTAAATATAACCAATCCCTCAGAAAATACTTCTGATCATGGATTTTGGATTGATCTCAGATTTTGAATGCATCTCATCTGAGATGAAATCACATAGATTTTGGTGGGAAGAAATTGTTTCTGTGACACAGCAGTTAAAAAAACAAAGCCAATTACAAATTTGCTTACACTAGGAACAGCCTTAGGAAAGGAGATTTATGAGCAGACTAACCCATTCACTGGTGAAAGGTACATGTTGCGTGCCCTGGATCATTTGGGTATACCATCTATCACATGGATAGAAAACAGCACCTCATTTCATACAAACATATTAGACAAATAGACCTGGTAAATCATGACGATTTATGGTAGAGTTGAATACCTTCTGGCCTGCCTCTGCCTCTCCAGCCAGCCTAGCTTCAAAGACTGCTTTTCCAGAGACGAAGTCTGATTGCCTGCTACAGCTGGTCACCTCGAGAAGTAACTTAGCATATTTTTTTTTATGTATCTGTCTCTTTGTTTTGGCATTATGCATGTCATGGCTGCCATTTTTGTTTCTGAAACGAGTAACGTCATGATGCTAATGAAAGCATTTGTTGTTGCCTACTACATTATTTCCTAAGAGAACATCTACCATACACAGTCTGAAAAGAATACATTTTTCAACTGTGATGGCGTTTCCTAGAGGTGACATTTCCCACACACTCAGTGGCAAGTAGCCTTAGCATTGAAAATCTTGTAGAAACAGTGAATCTTATGCTATGCAGTACTCACTTATGAGAATACATGATGTCACTCAAAGGTTGAGAAGTCTTTGCTATGTTAGGCATGTTGTTATAAGTATAATGGAGGGGTCTGTAATGGGTATGCAATCTTATTACCAAATCCAGCTGATATTAAGGTCCTCATTTTGATGGTGCCCTGTGTTTAAGTAAGCATCTGTTTGCGTGAATCTGTCAGCATTCTGATTATAAACCCATCTTTTCAAGAAGACATAATGCAGGAGCAAACCTTAAACAAAGCTTTTAAGTTCTTTTGTCTGTAAATAATGGATCCATGCAATATGCATGCTGTAGATAAGATTATATCATTGGAGAAATTTTATGTGATCATGTAACTGAAAAATAATACAAGGTAACTCAGAAAGAGATAAATTTAAGTATGTATGTGTCTGTCTTAGTCAATTCCTTATCTTTTGAATGGTGTGCATTTTTGACATTCTTCATTTTAAATGTATGTGTAAAAATGGCATATGACTGTGCGCAATATACATTTATAGATTGTATGTGTCTCTGCACAGTAAAGATGAAGCAGCCTTTATATTGTGTATGTGGTACTGGGGCATGGGTACCTATATGAACAGGGCAACAAAGAAAGTGAGTGATGGAAAAGGGCCCTGAAACCACGTAAAACTGTGCAGCACCCAGCTGATGGTATGACGTGGACAAATTATTAGGACCATCAGCTTCAGTGAGATAGCTTGTGAGCTTACAGGTTTTGCTGGACCAAATCCAGAGTGCCTGCTGTCTCCAGCATTGATTCCAGTAGGAGAGTTTTCATATGGATAATCACATGCTATTTCTTTCCAGTGCCTGTTGTTTCACCTTTGCGGGATAGGCCCATCCTCAACGCAGACTGCTTGCCACATACGCAGTGACAGTGCTACAGGCCAAGTCACAGCCTGTCTTGTGCTGGTTGTCCTACCTGAAGGAGCACACCTTAAGTAAGCTGTGTTTGCCAAGCCTGGAGAGCATGGCTCTTAAGGCTGCCTAGCAGTTTAGGCT